CTCTCTCGTTTAAACATTATTTAAAGTTCCCGAATAATATATATGATATAATAGAGATTTGATTTGGTTTGGTTCGTCTACCAATCCAAAGGTTGCAAATTCAAATCTCGCAGCCGGTATTTCATTGGTCGATTTAGCCTTAAATAACTACGTAGGATTCACAATCCTGAAGTAATAATAATCATCATTATCATTTTCAGCTTATTCAAACGTTGCCAATCATGGTGTAGCCCCCTTCACATATTTAGATTGTAGTTAGTCCCATTGGTTGTCTATTTTAGGCTATGCGGACACAAGTTATTCCTGCTAATTTTCTAATATCATGGTTCCACCTCAGATTTGGTCTTCTTCTAGGTCTTTTAATTCCTCGTGGGTACCATGTTGTAAATTTCGTGGTCCATCTGCCATCTGTTGTCCGTCCTTCTTGCCAGGTGTCTTGCCCATTACCACTTGAGGGATTTGATTCTGTGGATGACATCTATTACCTGGGTCTTTCGTCGTATCCACTCTATTCTTTTACGATCTTTCTTGGTTATTTCCAGCATATTTGGTTCCACTGAGCGTTGTGCAACCTGCAGTTTCCTTATAATGTCCGTTTTAAGTGTTCATATTTTGCTTGCGACATAGGTCATGGCTGGTCACATTAGTCGAATGTTAGCTTTTTTAGATAAAATGGCATTCTAGATTTGTTAATGATTGAATTTCTGCCATAAGTACTCCATGCTAACTTAATTCTTCTGTTGATTTCTGATAGTAGATATCCCGAGCTGTGTATTATTTGTCCCAAATATATACATATAGAAACTTACGTGCCATAAAATCCAAAGCTGATGACATCATCATGTTTTTACGTTATGGCTTTATGGCCTTTTATTACGTTGGTGTACCCCTCAAAGCCACATGCGGGTATTGACTTGCACCGAGAGTAATGTAATGCTTTGTAAAACAAGCATTCGCTAGTCTATGCCGGGAAATAATCGACGAACCGAGGGGCTCGCGAACAATTGTCCGAGCGAACCGTGGTCCAACGTACTTATGTTAATTGGCGGTATAAAAAATACATTAAAGAGCTAAAAACTTTGAATAAACGTAGTCCTACTAATTTCTAGATTCGACATTTTTTAGAGGCAGAAAAATACTAGAGCACAGCGAGCCTGGCATTTGAAAATCAGGCGTCTAAATGCAAAACCCGACAAGCACATTGAAATAAATTTTACAGAATATACAAAAAATTATTTAAAATATTATGAATATTAAAAAGACTAATAAATCTAAAGCACTGAATTTATCTAGTGCATTATTTCTTGAAAATATCTTAGGAAGGAATTAAATGGTGTAAAGAACACAATTTTCAAAAATGTGTGACTTATTTCAGCTTGTTCTGTATTTAGCCTGAAATAGATATTCGTGTTCCGACTCCGAACCAAAGGATCATCACGAACAGCGAACAAGCGTTGCATTACAGCGCTCGGCTTAAGTCAATCACCGTATTTAGACCATGAGTCAACATTTTTAATGGTGTGTTTAGAATCAATAATATATTAATAACAGAGCCTTTTCAAAAATAGTTAACCTTTTTATATTAAAAATATGTACTTTTTAAGTTAGATTCTGTAGTTTTTTGTTTGTTTTATAATTTGAACTTCCAGATGGTGATTTTTAGAACATATCAATTTTGCTATAAAGTGTTTTAATTTTACAGCGAAATAGGACAATTCTACTCTAATCCGTCAAGTTTACGACAGCCGGAATCAATGCCATGATTAATAATAGTGTTGCGTTGGGCCAATCGATCAAGCTTATCGTAACCACATCAAAACTCATTCAGATATCTCTTTCTATCAATTTAATATCAAAACAACTTCGAAACTAAATGCTTGTGAAAATTAATTTCTAAACAAGCATGCTAATATGAGTGATGAAAATATTATAAATAATACGAATCATATTATTTATATAGTAATAATCATCATAATTTTCAGCTTATTCATCCATTTCCAATTATGATGTAGTCTCCCTTACATATTTAGATACTTTCGTTGTAGTTGGGCCCATTGCTGCCTATTGTTGGCTGTGCGGGCCCAAGTTATCCCTGCTAATTTCCTAACACTATGGTCCCATCTCAGGTTCAGTCTGCTTCGAGGTCTCTTAATTCCATGCTGCAATTTTTGTGATCCATCTGTTGTTTGTTCTTCTTGCCAGGTGTCCTACCCATTGCCATTTGAGGGATTTGACTCTGTGGATGATATCTATTACCTGGGTCTTTTGTCTCTGACTGTATCTCTCGCGCCTCTCCTATTCAACATATTCATGTCAGCGCTCTCCATTATAGTGGACAGCAAACTGCAGAAGAGGGGATTGGGCATTAGATACAGATACGACGGCGGTCTGTTCAACATAAAAAGACTCAGGGCAAAAACACGTACAAAATTTATCACTCGATTATTGAAATAACCAACATCGCTGATTATGAACGCGTGATACAAATGACGAGTTACTAGTGACGAACGCAAGCGATAATAGAATGAAATAAGTTAAAATCTGATTTTGCAGGTAGCAAATTTATACGACGTTATCCGTTGCGTATCTGAGTGACAAAATTTTACGACCTACATCGACAATGCTTTGAAATAAACTAAATCAAGCGAATTACTCGTCATTCGTCGCTTGCTAGTTGCCATTCATCACCGAAAGAATAAACATTTGCTCTGCGCACGCAACTTACTACTTGGCGTTATGAGTACAACAAGCGACGGGTGAAAAACCCTATTTTTAAATTTCGCTCGAGTGATCGTTCGATTATTGAAATCGCTTGAAACTGGAGTACTCGATTATTGAAATTAATCGGTTTCTCCCATCACTACTGTATACATATGTACTACCAGTCATATTTTAGTAATATCTGCTATTTAATTCTTTTTCTTAGCGAGTGTCTAAATAACAATAAAAACAAAATTTGTAAAGGTCAAAACCTAAATGTAAAAATTAAATAAAAAAATCGTATAAAACAAAAACTTGGTCACAAGTAAACATCTGGTCTATTTAAAGTAAGCAAAATGACAGCAATTTCCGTAAAAAGAAAGAACACACGAAAATATCATTAACTTGAAACATAAACATAAAATTAATAATTAATGAAAACAGTCGCGTGAAAAACAATGTAAAAAACTGACTAAATTTAATTTCGTTTTGTAATTTAAAAACAGTTTTATTAGCTTTAGAGCTTAATAATACCTTTTATTATTGTTTGTTTAATATTATTTCTAAATAGTTTTACTAAGAACCTAAAACCTTAAATAAAATTTATTTTATTACCAAGCAGATGCTTTAAATTATTCAACAATAATAAAAATAAACGTACTAGATAAAATATACACTCAGATGCAAAAAAAACGCAACGGAGAAAATTTTGGTCCAATTTAAAGCGTTATATTTTTGTTAATTTTAGCCCTATTTTTATAATTTTTTAAACAAACTGTATATAATTATACCAACTTTAATTGGTAATCTCAGTTTTTTATAAACTTTAGCATATTATACAGGGTTAATCGAGGGGTTGGTTTTTTACCCTAACTCTGTAACTCGTTACCCAAGGCAAAAAAGTTAAACGCAAACAACTTTATTGATAAATGTATTGTTTCTACTTTGAAAAATACTAATGGGCCTTCAAATTAAAAAAGTTTTAAAAAATTTCTTGAAATTTTTTTTTTAGTAAAATGAGAATAATTTATTCGCAGTCGAAAAAAAATTGTTTCAGAATTTTGTTTAGGGTCAAATATTTCAAGTTAATGTATTCAAAAAGCAGGAATTGCTATTTTAGTAACGAAACATTTTCTTATTCAACAACATGGCGGCTTTCACTTTGTTGTTTTGGAGATTAAGATGGAGTAGTTCGAGTAGTCGCATACTGGACTAATAAAGTCGCAGTTCAGATTGCCTAATTTAGTCATCCTAGAGTCTAGCTTGTGCCGCCCTCTATATTCTAAATAAACGAGAGAGTGGATAAAGTATCGGTAATATGTCGATGTATATTTAAACTTTGTTTTATATGTGCTTTTCTTACGTCCCATTTTAATTAAGTTTTTTTTATAAAAACAAAAACAGCACTGAACTGTCTGACTGAACAGAACAATGAAATGAAAAGTTAAGATTTAAGGTTATGGTTCAATACAGTTGCAAAAAGGTAGTGGCTCGATGTCCTACCAACGTAAGAATAAGGAAATCTAAACAACGTTGGAATTAGTAAAACAGACGACGTTTGCATAACGTTGGAATAGGTCCTGAAAGTGACGTCGGAAAACTCTTTATTGCCCAACATTGTAACTACGTTGTCCGAATCACCTAAAGATCACTTAACCAAAAAAGGTTACAAGACAACGTTTTTTCGACGTCGCAGAAGCTTTTACTTTGTTATAGTACTAGTTTAACGTCGGCACAACGTTACAACAACGTTTACATTTATTTTAATACCCAAGGTACGGAGCTAACTATTTTTTGTAACTAATCCAACGTTGTGTTTAGTAAACATGTGGTCGCAAGTCGTGAAAATACTACTTGGGTAGTTCTACATATTTCTTGATCAAAATATGAACAATTTTCAAAAATTTCTTGTGTCGCCACAGGATTCCGAAGGTAATTATTATGCAAAAGGAATTAAAACAATCTTAATTTCCGCATTATTAAGAGGGGCGTACTCAAAATAAATGTCTTCAGTCTAAATATACAGAAAAAGTGTCACATTATCTGATCTTTATTCAAGAGAAAACGATGTTAGTACTTTAAAAATATCATGTTACTCAAAAAACGTTCAAAAATGACCGAACAACTGCTAAATATTTGACAATATCGTCGACGGAAGTGCTCCTCTTAAATTCCGTATATCGACTGACATGGAGCTGTCGCGTATCTCCGGAAGCTGTCGGTCGATATCGGGACCAACCCCTAACGGGATTCGGTAAGGGATGCTGCAATGGTTAGTAACTTAGGGTTGTTCCCTAAAATCGGACGGGACTGCGATTTTCGTTTTCGTTATCTTATGTCGCACCCGATACGTAAACTTAGACACAAGAAATCACTGTAGGAATTTTTTCGTAAAAAGATCAGTGAATCTAGGGTAGTTTTTATGATCGGTTGTTTGGTGGTGTAAATTTAAATTAATATTCTTGTTAACTAATAGAAACAAAATGTTCTGTGTCAAAGTTAAGAAAAAAATAAAGTGACTCTGTTTTGGTGTGGAAGAGAAGAGGGTGTGTGCTAGTAACTTGAAAAATTATGTAGTTTCGCTGAAATTTTTAGTAGGTAAGTTAGAGTCGCTTAACTAAGGACATTCAGTTTATTTAATATAATATATATATATATATATATATATATATATATATATATATATATATATATATATATATATATATATATATATATATATATATATATCATAGTTTATAAGATTGTGCTAAGATATAATTTTTAATAGTGTCAAATCCGTTCTATGTTATTTAAAAATTTAGTTGAATTTCTAAAGTGTAATAGTTAAACAGATCAAGAATCTGAATATTATTGTATTAATTTAAGTATTTCTGCTAGAAAAAGAAAAATTTATTTAAAACATTCTATTTTAAAATTATTTTTATTTGAACATTTTGTTTTTAAATTATAAGTATGAATTACTGGATTTCTTACTAAATGTATTAGAACAAAATTATAATGTTATAATACAAAAATTGCTATCAGTAAAAATTTAAAGATGACACCATTATACAGGATGAATCTTAGATAAGTGCAAATATTTTAGGGGTAGTATATTTCGACACCCGAAGCACGATTAGGGATATTTCAATTTTTGGGACTTTTTTTAGTTTTTAGCTAATTTTTTTTAGGTAATATGGCAACATAGGTAGTAGATTAAATTTACAACAAAGAAAACCCAGAAAAGATCTAGTGGTTCTCGAAATTTAAGCATAAAACATTTTTTTGGAAATTTTCAAAGTAAAATAACTCGGTTATTTTGGACTTATTTAAAAAACGGGAAAGAGAAGATATGTTCCTTTTATTGAGATCTACCAGCTCTGAAAATATTTGCACTTATTTAAGACTCACCCTGTATATTCAGATGTTATAACTGTTTACTAATGCATATAGCTAATGCATAGCTTGAAACATCATCTCTTGACCATATCCTAAATTGTCAAAAGGTCTATAAATCTTAATTTTAACCATATAAATAATTCTGATAAAAATAGACTTGCAAGGAGGTCAAGGCTGTATTCCACAAAAAATATATAGTATTTCTATAATTTGAAACAACAAGTTACAATATTTACGACAATTAATACGTTCAACTTAAAATGTTCTGTGTCAAAGTTAGAAAAAAAAATAAAGGAACTCTGTTTAAGTGTAGAAGAAACTAGGGTGTGTTCTAGTAACTTCAAAAATTATGTAGTTTCTTTGAACTTAACGAGGCGCTTACTATTAGGAAGAAATTCAGTTTATTTAACAAAGTAGGTATCACAGTTTATACGATTGTGATAAGATATAATTGGCAATAATCTCGACCCTGTCCCCTCTTTATTACTTAACAAACTTATAAACAAAATATAGGACAAAAACAAATATAGAACTCGAATATTAATTCAAGAGTTTCTGCTAATAATTCTCTAAATAGACAAATTTCTTTAGAATGTTCTCTGGTTTAAACTGCTTCCATTTTAGAGTTCCTTTCACAGTTATTTTAATGATAATTAAGTCAAAGCGGTTGAATTTCTTATTAAAAGTACTAAAACAGAATTTTAAATATTATAGAAAATTAGAGAATAAAATTGCTATTAATAAAATCTTGAAAATAGTGAATACAGTTCATACAATATTAGAGAGTTTCTTTACTGAACATTTCTGTTTATTTTGGATTTAAGTTATTTAAGTTTAAACTAATATGATATCAAATAATATTAAAATAAATATTCTGCCTCAATGTTAAATAAAAATATCACTATCTTTGCTTTGGTGTAGAAGGACGAGGCGAGGGTGTGAACTTAAGAACATGTTTTATTTCTCTGAACTTTAATAGGTCAGTTCGAGGTGCTTAAAATTAAATATTCCGCATATTTAATAAAATGTCCGTCATAGTTTATAATATTGCGATAATAATAACAATGGCTTTATTTTATAATTAAATGGGCAAAATCTTACTAAAAAGTAGAAATGGGAAAAAGAAATGGGCTTAAGTCTTACCTAACACAAAAATTACACTTCCATTGATAAAATGTAAATTTTAATACTCTTTAACACGTCCTTTATTATTTAAAAAATATAATATGTCGCACAGATCACGATACGCAAATTTAGACACAAGAAATCACTGTAGGAATTTTCTCGTAAAAAGATCAGAATGTTTAGGAGGGGAGTTAATCACCGCGACTTTATAGATCTATTGTGTGTTCCCCTTTCTTGAGTTATAATGAGTTATAACTCATCATACAGTCTCAGGGCTTTAACAAAAGCCAGTATCTGAGACGGCTCCACAGAGGCCAGCTCTTTATCCTCGACATCAGACGTACCAAGATTCATGGTACGAATGGTCGTCGTCTCAGCGCACTCAGTGATATGATGTTCTGGTGTTTCCCCATTTTCCCCACCAAATTTTCATTCGCCGTTGTTTCTCAGTTTCAGCCTACTGAGGTGTTCGTTAAGATCAGTAGGGTAGTTTTATGATAGGTTGTTTGGTGGTGTAAATTTAAATTAATATTCTTGTTAACTAACAGTAACAAAATGTTCTGTGTCAAAGTTAAGAAAAAAATTAAGTGACTCTGTTTTGGTGTGGAAGAAAAGAGGGTGTGTGCTAGTAACTTGAAAAATTATGTAGTTTCGCTGAAATTTTTAGTAGGTAAGTTAGAGTCGCTTACCATTACAAGGACATTTGGTTTATTTAATATAATATATATCATAGTTTATAAGATTGTGCTAAGACATAATTTTGAAAAGTGTCAAATCCGTTCTTTGTTATTTAAAAATTTAGTTGAATTTCTAAAGTGTAATAGTTAAGCAAATGAAGAATCTGAATATTATTTGAAGAATTTCTGATAGAAAAAGAAAAAGTTATTTAAAACATTCTATTTGAAAATTATTTTTATTTAAACATTTTTTTCAAAATTATAAGTATAAATTACTGGATTTCTTACTAAATGTATTAGAACAAAATTGCGGTCAATACAAATTTGAAGATTAACTTGACACTATTATACAGGGTGAGTCTCAAATAAGTGCAAATATTTTTAGGAATAGTATGTTTCAAACCCAGAAACAAGTCTATGAGTTTTTTTGCGAGAAAGAAAACTCATAGACTAAAATTACAAATGTTGATTTTTTTAGCTTTTAATTAAAAAACATAATTTCTTAATAATATGGCAACATAGAGAGTAGATTAAATCTACTAGAAAGAAGTGACTTTTTTTTGAAAATTTTCAAAGTAAAATTACTTGGTTATTTTGGACTTATTTAAAAAACGGTAAAGAGAAGATAATATCAAATATATAAAGATATGTGATAGTGGTAATCTCGACCGTACTTCTAAATTTAATGTGGAACAATATCGGGTAGCGGTCTGTAGATTCAATTTAAACAAATTTGTTTTTAAACTTGATATTTCGTTAATTTTTATTAACTTCTTTAGAAATAACTACAATAATAAATATAAAGAGATGAGATTAATTCATATCATTACACAAAAAAAGAGAGAAGGGGAAAAACAACTATAATTTTTTTCCCTATAGCACATTTCATCAAAGGTCACTCAGTGAATAAAAGAAAATAATAATTAAAACTATATAAAAAATTCTATAACTTACAACATTTAGTCATTGAATATAATCCTATTATAACACGAACATTTTTCAACTTGCACGTATATAAAGATATATAAAATAGAAAAAATAAAAAAATAAATATATAAAGTTTTATTGAGATCTACCAGCTCTGAAAATATTTGCACTTATTTAAGAGTCACCCTGTATATTCAGAAGTTGTTATAAATATCTACTGCATACAGCTAAATCTATTTTATTAAAAATGTTATACATCTTATCCTAAATTACCAAAAAGTCTATAAATCTTAATTTTAACCATATAAATAATTCCGATAAATTAATAAGCTTATAATCATCTGCTTGCAACAATAATATTAATTGTTTCGACCCCGTCCTTTATCCCTTAAGAAACTTAAAAAAAATATAGAACAAAAATAAATATTAAACTTGAATATTAACCCAAGAGTTTCTGCTAATAATTCACTAAATAGATAAATTTCTTTAGAATATTCTCTGCTTTAAACTGTTTCCATTTCAAGAGATATTTAAATGATAAATCAAAGCGGCTGAATCTCTTACTAAAAAAACTAAAACAAAATTTTAAATATTATAGTAAACATAAAGAATAAAATTGCTATTAATAAAATCTTGAAAATAGTGAATACAATTCATACAATATTATTTTATTTATAGAACACTAGAATATTTATATTTATAGAACTTTTCTGTTTAATTTGGATTTAAGTTATTTAAGTTTAAACTAATATGATATCAAATATTAACATAAATATTCTGTCTCAGTGCTGAACAAAAATATCTCCTAAAGCTGTTTTGGTGTACAAGGACGAGGGTGTGAGCGTGCTATTTAAAAAATATGTGTCGCACCCGATACGTAAATCGAGACACAAGAAATCACTGTAGGAATTTTCTCGTAAAAAGATCAGTGTACTTAGGGTAGTTTTTATAATTGGTTGTTTGGTGGTGTAAATTTAAATTAATATTCTTGTTAACTAACAGTAACAAAATGTTCTGTGTCAAAGTTAAGAAAAAAATAAAGTGACTCTGTTTTGGTGTGGAAGAGAAGAGGGTGTGTGCTAGTAACCTGAAAAATTATGTAGTTTCGCTGAAATTTTTAGTAGGTAAGTTAGACTCGCTTACTATTACAAGGACATTCAATTTATTTAATATAATATGCATCATAGTTTACATAGTTCATAGAAAAAGAAAAAATTATTTAAAACATTCTATTTTAGAATAATTTTTATTTGAACATTTTTTTTTAAATTATAAGTATAAATTACTGGATTTCTTACTAAATGTATTAGAACAAAACTTAAAATGTTACAATAATACAAAAATTGCTATCAATAAAAATCGAGATAAAAATTTAAAGATCATTAACTTGACACCATTATACAGGGTGAGTCTTAAATAAGTACAAATATTTTAGGGGTAGTATATTTCGACCCCATAAACACGTCTATGAGGTCTTTTTCGTGAAAA